GGTGCTGAGTGATACGAATCAGTGGAGAAAACGTAGAGTTTGTATCTGATTAGAAAAGAGGAGACTGCTAATGTCGTGGTGCCAAGGAGTCCACCTTTTTCCTCCTCTGCCTCCTCGGGTCTTCATTTGTAATACAAATAGCTAACGAGTTCCCCCGTGTGCTTGGGTTCAACGCCCGTGCCAACAACTCTTGTTATAGTTGTTGTCCTCGAATAATTATCTTTTGGCTTTGTTATAGGTGAGAGTTTTATGGTGTGTATGTGCGTGCGTGCGTGCGTGTGTGTGCGTGTCTGTGTCTGTGTGTGTGTGCGTATGTGTGTCTGTTTGTGGATTTGTGTGTGTGTGTGTCTGTATGTGTGTTTGTCTGTGTGTGTATGTCTGTGTGTGTGTCTGTTTGTGGATTTGTGTGTGTGTGTGTGTGTATCTGTTTGTGGATTTGTGTGTGTGTGTGTGTCTGCATGTGTGTATGTCTGTGTGTGTGTGTTTGTGTGTGTGTGTGTGTGTGTGTACGCACGAGCGCGCTCGTGTGTTATCCTGTGTGAGTCAGATATTTTGAGTGTGGGAACTTTCTTTTATGCATTGCTTGTTGTTTTTTTAGCTCCGGAGGCGAGAGAAACTGTTGGGATGAGGAGATGCAGGGAGGGGGACAGAAGATGAGAAAGTGGAAGAAAGGGGGAAGAGAGAGACAGACAGAGACAGAGGGAAAGAGAGAGTTAGTGTGAATGAGTGAGACAGAGAGACAGAGAGAGAGAGGGAGACAGAGACAGAGAGAGAGTGAGAGAGAGGCAGTGAGAGACAGAGAGAGTTTGTGTGAATGAGTGAGACAGAGAGAGAGACAGAGAGGGAGTGAGAGAGAGAGGCAGTGAGAGACAGAGAGAGTTTGTGTGAATGAGTGAGACAGAGAGACACATACAGAGAGAGAAAGAGAGACAGAGAGTGTGAGACAGAGAGAGTTTGCTTTAGGGTAGTTTTCTGTCCATAACATCGACGGCCGTCGTGTGCCTTTGAGAATTAAAGCCGTTACACCTCGAGGGGGGAGGGGGGGGGGTTCGTTTCCGTGTACACTTTTTGAGGGCGCTGTTACTTAAAACGTGAGATGAAAACGAAAAGCTACAGAAGGTGTTTCCACGGTAAAGGGTGGCGTGTTTTCGTTGCATATTGTCGGACCAGGCTAAGTAAGTAGCGCGTAACAAAGTTCTCTTTTGCCTCTTTTCGAAAGCAGATTTTCTTTTGTTTGCACAAGTCAAGAAACAATGATGGAGGGACTAATGATGAATCAGTTTAGAGTGCTTATTATTATGAGTACGAGCGTCTTATTATTATGAGTACGAGCGTCTTATTATTATGAGTACGAGCGTCTTATTATTATGAGTACGAACGTTTCAGTCTCGTAACTTTTGACATCGAGGATTACGATACCCTTGGTGTCTGTTGTTTGTTTGATTTGGTTTTTAAAAATTTCTCTTGGATTTCATTGGAAGGAAGTGTTGGTGGCTGTGTTGTGTTCCTGTAGCGACTACATCATCCAGCGACACTCAAACGTCAAAGGAATACTAAAGCAGTCGTTCTCGGAACCCGAGACGTTTCTTTGAGCCTGTGAGCTCCCTCCGGACAAAGCCGGGCGATCAGTGTCTGTCGTTATCTCATCATCCAGACGACCACTGCCTGTCCTTCCCCCTACCACCCGGGCGGGCAGTGTCCGTCGTTTCACCGATTCAGACGATCAGTGTCTGTCGTTGCACAATTCCAGACGCTGTCTGTCGTTCTCCCTTCCAGACCTTCAGTGTCTGTCGTTCCCCCTACCATCCAGACGGCCACTGTCTGCCGTTCCCCGCAACCCCTCCAGACGGTGAGTGAGGGTGGTGGTGGCTCAGTCCGCCGGTCATCGCCTTGATGGGCCGGCGCTGGACGCTGACCGGTGCTGCCCCTGACAGTGGCCAGCCTGTGGTCATGTACGCCTGTCAGCGATGGGGCCTCAAGTAAGTACCTACACGATAGATCTACCTACGCACTCCAGGCTCATTCCGCGGAGACTGACGCCCGTAAGGCTGGGAAGGATAGCTTGCTGAAAATAATCAATAATCTAATAATCTAAGCAATGATAGAACCGCTCTTCATTTTTAGAAAATCGTTTTTATTTGTTTATTGTTTTGGTTTTTGTGTGGGCTTGTTTTGTTTTTTTGAGTGGGAGGGGTAATTTATGTTTATTATTTTTTTGGAGTTTGGTTTAATTTAGTGTATATTTGGTTTTGGTCTATTTGTGTGAGAAGGTTGCAACGGACAAAATGGAAAAAGAGTTAAGAATTGCTCTATCAGTACTTAGAATAATTGTATTTAGAAATTTAGTTGGTGGGTGTTTTGATATGGTTTGCCTGTGGTCACGTACGCCTGTCAGCGGTGGGACCTGAAGTAATTACATGCACGATAGATCTACCTACTCACGTGGGTCATTCCGCGGAGACGGACGCCCGTAAGGCTGGTGTTATAAGTAACAGCCTTCTAGAAATGATCTTAGCCGTTCTTCGTTTTTTAAAATATTTTTGTTTGTTTGTTGTGTTTTATTTGGTTTGTATTAGTTTGTTTTGTGTGTGTGTTTTTTTCTGGGGG